CAGACCGGGAGCGACCCTTTCGGCCCTTTCGACCGCTCGAACGGCTTCGGCGCCGATGTCTCGCCTCCAGGACTTCACCGCCCGATCGCAGGGGAGATGTCGTCTGCTCTTCGCCGGACTCTGAGTTCACTTCGATATCACTTGAATTCATGACTGAATCGGAATTTTGCAAAGAATTTGTCAATAATTTTATCAACTTTTCTAACGACTAATGACCAGAATTTCAAATTACAGTCCCTTTTATACCGACAATGCTTTCAATTCTCGCACTCAAATGTACTCAAATCCATTGCACACTCTCTTTATTGTCGACTAATTTTGTAAATAATTTAATGATTAGTAAATAAATAACATATTTTAAACTTTGTAAATAAAAAACAACACTTTTCTAAATGATCATTTAATTTGAATTTATATTAATTAAAGTGACCGTCAAAACAGTGTATGATTTAATGATATTTGACAAAAATTGTTTAAAAAGCTTATTATATTTAATGAATATCAGAATGAATGAGATTTTAATAAATCTTAACATTAGTCCGTATTCAACAATTTGAAAGTTTTTTCAAAACTATAACAAAACTTCGAGATTAGAGTGAAAGACATGCAATTCATTTGACTTTCTTTTTGCGGACCTTCTTGTCGGTGGTCTGGAAGGAGACGACATCGAGGGTTACGTGCTGTGAGTCGTGGTCGGACTTCTTGCGCTTCGAGAAGCGGCCCCTGAGGTCGTCGAGTGAGGAGCCGTTCAGGAGTTTGTGTTGAATGGTCTGAATCTTGGAGGAGGAGATGCCGTAGACGGCGGTCAGGAAGTTCTGGCAGACCTGGACCTTCTTGCCCCTGACGTCCACGAAGTAGGTCCACGAGACCGACTTGTTGTGGCGGACGGGCTTCTGGACCGTCCTCTTGGGCTCGTCGGCGCTCATGAGACCCGCGAGGAAGTAGTTCTGATTGGTTTTGCTTCTTATGCACCAAAACCTGACAGACATTTGAGACAACATTGAAGAAGTTTGTAAAAAGTAGCCAAACAGTGGTCACACCTGTTGAAGCAGTCCTCCTGCACTTGTGGCGCAAATTTGGTGAAACACTGTCTCTTAAGACAGCATTTGGTGACAGGTGTGAGGCCTCCCTCGGGAGGACTGGCGTAGTCGATGTCCATCTCCTCCTCGTATTGGTTGATGTCATCGTTGGTCACATTCACGTCCAATATCTCGGGATTTGCCGGAAATATCATTATTGTCGTCGCGTTGGCCGCTATCTCGTGAGTGGCCATCGTTTCGCACTTTCAGATAACTTGCGGTCAACTCACGAGTGAATGGTAAGTGTTGGACAGACTTAGCAGTCATTCAATGAAAAGTTTGCGTCAATAGAGTTGTCATCCATTTGTATGAATCACTTAACCCTCAAAGCGAGTGATTGTGAAAACCGCTTAACTGTGGCACAGAGTGTGCGCGTTGTCTATGCATACAATGAATGCAGTTATTTGTGTTTATGACAAACCATTTGTGCACTTATGAACATCACAACAGTTCACAAACTATTGGTGAACAAACTTTTATCAATGATAATGAAATGAAATACAATTTTCTAGAATTATGCCAATATATCAATATGAAGATTAATTCAGTCATTGCTTTAAAGTCATTACTCAAATCACAATTTAATTAAGTCTGGTGAAACTATAGTCAATAGAAATATGATTGTAATTCATACCGGTACTTTTTTATTTTTAGGGTACATTTTACAATAACTTATAATTGACAGTACGGTAATACAGTATTGAATATAATTTTGAACAAAATCTCAAAAGTTTGTCAAACTTTGAAATATAACAAAAGATACGATAAACTATAATAAACTGATGGATTTGCACACAATAATTGTCTTTAACTTTAAATAGTAGTGAAGTTTTGTGGGAATGAAGTGACGATTTCGTTGACAATTAGGGTGTTATCGTTGATTAGAGAGGAATTCATGTTATTTGTATCCGATTTGGATCTCCTGGCGCTCTTTGCAGCTGATTGTGGGCTTTGGATGGCATCTAACTGGTGGTGGTCTTCGTGTTTGCGACGAGCGGTGTGTTGATTGGCTCGCCTCGAGTTGTCGTATTTGCCTCTTTGGTCTTCAAGCGGTTCCCCATTCACTAGCTTTGTCTGAAGGACTCGAAGCCTTTTGTCGGACACGCCATAGACGGCCAGAAAGAAACCCTTACAGACCTGCACTTTGCGGCCCCGGATGTCCACCCAATACTTCCAACTCAAGCTCTTATTCTTCTTAAGCGGTCGACTCGTCACCTGTTTTGGTGATTGTGCGGCCATTAGTCCCACTAAGAAGTAGTTCTGCTTCGCGTAGTCTCCGATTCGCCAAAAGCTATCAATTGATGACAATTTGTGAATCAATTGAAACAAAACAGACATTTCATTGAATACTTGTTGAAGAGATCGTTCTGTGTCCGAGGTAATACACTTTCGTAACACTTCTTCTTAAGACAGCAATTGGTGACAGGAGTCAGTTCACCGGCACTTCCACTCAAACTCTGTCTTTGGTCACCCTCTTCGTCCATCTCTATGGTTGTGGTCAACGGCGCCGACCCCTGAGAAGCGGCTGAAGTGAGCACTTCACTCATGAATAGGATATTTGACATCTTTGTGTCAATTAAAACGAAATCAGTTATGAATACAATTTACAAAACTTAATCAAATCTAACGTTTGAGGCATTAATATCATAGTTAAGCCATTTTGAAGCCATAATCCTACGAGTAATGACACAAATGGGCGTAAATTGCTTTTGAATGCATGCGTCGAACCAAAGGGCGTAACTCTATGTGACATCACATACACAGCAAGCCATTCATAGCAAGAATATAAATTTACAGCAGTATTATCAGGGTCATAATGTTTATCATAAAATAACAGAATTTAGAATTGATAAATTAATGTTATCCAGTTTTACCAATTATATATTTTAGTGGTATTTAACACTCGTTTGGTTCACATTTAGATCCTAAAAGCAGTACAAGTAATGAATTTAACAATTATTTTATTTAATGATTAGAAATCGCTTTTATAAATGTTTTACAAATGATTTATAATTTGACAAAATATACACTTCTGTTAAAAATATTATTAGAGATGTTTATAACATAATAATAGACTGAAAAAGAATAATTGAATGAAAATAACATTTGTATTCATTTCCTAACATTGAGTGCATTTTTCTTCGCCTGCCATGCATTGAATCGATTGAATGTCACTTGAATTTGATTCATGAGATGAGCCGTAAGCTATGGGTCGCCAAAAAATAAAAAGACAATTATTTGGGATTCAATTGAAATGAAAACAATCAGATATGATATGACACTCACGTCTGTGGTATGATATTCGCGACTGAGTTTGTCGTGAAAGGGTTGGAGTTTGACGTATTGAAAGCGCTCTAAAGTGGTCTTCATTTGGTACAACTTGTCCTCAATCTGTGGAGTAGTGGCCGGAAAGCAGGACCAGAAGTGTCTCAACAACTCATTCAAAGCGAACGTCAAGTTCTTGAGCTCTTTCTGGACGTCGAGCGGCACTTCGTCTTTAAGGTTAGTCGTGTGGGAGGTCTTCATGAGAGCCCCTCCGGGAGACAACTCGCTTAAGGCAGAGATGGCTGAGGCCGAGTTGAGTGCATTCTGACAGCGCGGCCCCCAATTGGTGACCAAATTGTCGATTTGCAAATACGAGTGAAACATATTATTGTCTAAATTATTGTTATGATTGCTTTCATAGGAATAACTATTATTATAGATATCACAGTCGCCGTTAGGTATGGGACCCGCGAGATAGCGGTCTCTGTTCGCAATGTTAAGCACAGGTATCTTCACTTTCTGACTATCACTGTCTTCCAAGTCCGACAATTGAGTCTTCTCTTCAAGTCGTAATCTCTTCATGTGATCCCTCTCTTGTTGTACAGCAATGAGTTCGTTGTCATCAATAACTGGTGTCACTGTTGTGGTCACCGTATGAGAAGTCTTTGCCTTTTTCGAGACGTTTCCGTTAAGTATTGGCGGAGGGTTTGGATCTTTGGGACCATTGGTTAAGGGGTTCGCAGAGCTGTCGCCACTTCTACTCATCGAGGACTCCAACACTCGGATCGAGTGGTGATTAAAGCGTTTAATGAGCGCCTGATTTGAATTCGAGAGTGAATTCAAAGAATCGCTTTTATTCTTATCCTTGTCTTCGCGACTCTCGAGTGTCGTCCCAATGACTCTGTCCTCCATTGAGGACAAGTCGAGAAAGGGATCGATAATACCTTTTCTTAAAGCACTTTCGATGTCATGATTAGAGTAGTCATTGAAGAAGTCTTTGGTGGTTGAGTTGCGGTCTCTGTGGAAGTAATGTGACTGAAAGAATCGCTGCCAAAACTCCTGTTCCGTCACTTTGTGCGGAACGCTCTCGAAGTGCTTCCGCTTTACGGCGGGATATGTGTTGAAAATGGCGTCAATTATATCTTTAGTGATATTGTATTTAATGCCATTACATCCGTCCACTTGCGGCGAAATGTCTGCCAGAAAGGCCGCCGAAACGCCAACCCTTTGGCCGTTCGGTTCGCTCTTATCTACATTTGGGTCAAATTCAACGCACAATCAATTCACTGCCACAACATTATCACACCATTTGTTTACAATAGGTTTGATAACAATAACTAATCGACTGATAATTAATCGTACGATTGATAACAAAATGAGTTCAAAGTCATGGAAATCCACTCCTAATCTAAGGTAAACTCAATACCAGTAAAAGTCATGCTTTTCGAGACATACCTCTCAAGTCAATCCTCCTGTTGGTCGCATAGTTGGCCCAAAACTCTTCGGCGGTAATGATGTTAGAGGTGACTAACTCTTTGTAGAGCCCGAAGAGCTCCGGGTCTTCGTTGAGGACACGGCTCTTCTCTTGGAGATCTTTGGATATCATTCGCTTGAATTTGGGTAACAATTGCTGTAAGAGTTCCTTCACTTCATTCCTGTCATTCAGTTGACTCTCCACTCCATTGGCGTTCACGAAGTGAAAGGTATCGCTCCCGGAGTCCAACACCACCTGCAACTGGATCTTCGGCTTGCCTTCCGGTGATATCTTCTGAGTCTTAATGTCGGCGTATTTGTGGGAAATAGTGAACGAGTCCTTCCCGTTGGGCATCCATGCGATGCGTTCGGCCATCATATAGAGGGTGCCGTCGGTCTTCTTCATCCTCACTGCCTCCACCACTCGCAACACGTCCTCCGATGAGGTCGTCATCACCGCAGACGGCGATCACGAAGCGCTTCCGGCGATCGCACCAATGGATCGCTAATCAGTTCAATGAGTCATTAGTTATCAAACACTCGGAGGAATGCATTCATACAATGGTTCATAACTTGATAAATGATATGATTATGAAAAGTATAGCAAAAGTGTGAAAAAGTGTTAAAAAGCGATTGAATGGCGAAATAATTGAATGATTTCGCAGTGAATGCATTGAAAGCATAGATTGAATGCAATGTTAATGAGTGGAGAGTGTATTGACTGCAAACTCACCCAACGCTCAGTCGATGCGTGAGTTAATCGGTTTAATGGATGAGACAATTGAGACGATTTGGTGGCAAATGTGATGACATCTGCATCACAAGACACTTAGAAGGGGTGCTGACATGCAATGAGTGGTCAGTGACGGGTCGGTTGTCCTGTAAATACGGTTAACCTATGCCTGCGATCACCAGTGAGTGTCCGTCAGCCATAAGACATGGTTTGACTGAACGCTTCACATATAGTATGTATGGAGTGGTGAATAGCATAGCGTATAGTATGGCGTAATTGGCATACATTTCGTACATTTCTATGGCATACGAATGCATACAATCGTAGAGATATAGCACACCATAGCCTCCCTTTCCATACGGACTCCTATCGGGACTAAAGCATAAACCCAGTCAACACATAGCGTTGTACCCAACACGGGGGGCATCACTCCATCAACCAATCAACGCTCCCCAACCCATGTCCAGTGCACACTACATGCACCGCACACTCCGCCACCCCATACACCCCCACCCCATACCACCAACACCTATGCCCGTCACCGCCGTTCCCATCATATGTCTTATGTTTCTGTATTCATGGCAACCAACTGTCCGTCGGGTCAGTATTACAAGTGCTTCCCAATGGGGAGGCCAGTGGTGTGGACGGTGTATGCGAGGGCTAAGAGTGTTGATGGGGTGACAGACACGCCATCTGTCAGATACAAAAACATACGATATATTGATGGCATCCCAGCCCTCATTAGACACACCATTCGCTCAACACTTAATTGCACTTTAATTACAATTAACACACATTTCATTCATATTTCAATGCATTCCCCGATAAACGAGACAAACATTGAATATATTAAACGTTAGATTTGGTGCACAAATACAATTGAAATTGCATTTTAGTTGACCTTATATTTGACAACTAAATCGTTGATTTTATAGACAATTAGGTATTTAATGGATATAATTATGATTTAATTGTGAAATATATAGCAAATACTATGAGAAATGTATGATTAGATATGAATTAAATGTAATTTGAATGAAATATTATAATTCTTTGTCTGCTATGATATGTCCATAAATGTGATCTGTTTTTCATCAATTACCAGAAGTATTGACACTTTTATCACAAACCAATGCATTGATTACATAATAATGGCACAAATATTGATAGTTTTGTGTTTAAATTGAATTAATTTGGTTGAATTAGTGCCGAAAAGTGCAATAAACGTGTGTTTGTGTGACAATTAGTGCCCTCAATGCTAAGCCAATGGGAGTGTAGTGTCAATAGAAGTCATAATTTATGTCTCGTTTGGGAAGCGATTTAAAGGGAAGGAAGGGTTGACTGGATTTGTGACAAAAATACCGATAATTATAATGAGAGTGAAGTAAACACGCGATAAGGAAGTGACAGATCATGGATGCCATGGATGGAGGGGTGGAAGTGGTGTTGAGGGCCATCAGACACCGGTTCCACTACTACAAGACTTTCGTTGTGTCCAATCCGTTGGTGGTCTCCGAAATGGAGTCGGCGTTGCGGTGGATCTCGTATCTCATCACAGGTTTGCAGACAATCTAATGTCTTCATGTCTAATGTCAGACAATCTCTTTGACTCTAACTAATGCCAATCCATTGAACGATAGCCACGAAACTCAACAACAATCACATTATCTCTGAGTTGTTGTACTCGTGTTCTTCGCTGTTGTCGTTATTCAACGACACGATCCTCAGGAAGTCCTTCAATATTAAGATCAATGCAGTGAGTATCTCATCGGTGGTCGACACAGACATCTGAATTGCGAACTAAACAAACAGCGGGCTTCTTGGGCTAACAGCTCTTAGACCTCAATCACAACTGAAAGTAACTTATGTAAGTTCACAAGAGACTTAAGTGCCGTGTAGCTCACATGCCTAACCAAGGCAAATGGGTGATCGTCTCTGTCATCCAAATCACTAAGTATTTCATCCAAATTAAGAGATTGTCTGTTTGTTAACCAACTGTTTCCGTGACCAGAGTTGTCATCCGCTTAATACTGCTATTGAAGTACAATCAGGGACTCCAACGACACCAACTCATCGCACCGTTAGACCGATCCAGAGATCTGTCTGCTATCGGTTCCAACGAGTGCTCCAATGGTCTGAACTCGTGTTCCGCGGAACTCAGTCCTGAAGAGGACATCGAGTCATCAACTTTTAAGTTGAAACGCACGGGTCGTGTATTGCGAACCATTGAGAAGGCGCCTCCACGTCCTCAGAGGACATGGCTGTCACCCGAAGACAACTTTAATATAAAGCGCTTATTGGAGAAACAGAAACGAACGGCTCTTCCCTCCGAGTTATCGGAAACCCAGAGAATGGGCGAAGTGTTGCATATCGTGCGACCGGTGGCCCACTTGACAGCGTTGGCAGCTTTCGGGGTGGAGTCGTGGGCGCCGTACCTCTTGGCCGCCGGTCTAGACGTGGCCAGTCTTCGGCTATTAAGTGATCCGCCGAACAAACTCTGGAATTTCAACGAAAGAATAGAATTTTCAGTTTCTTGAAAATCAAACAACAATATAGACAACTCTAGTGGAAAAATACTGTTAATGTGATTTCTCTTCTAGAATTGCTAATACTCAAAATACCGCTTAGTGTAGGGTGAGAAGCCCGCTGAGGTTCGACCCCTCATTGAATATCTGCCCGAATGGCAGAAAACATATTTCTATGTCTGGAATGTTTAGATCAGTTTTAATCAAAGATTATTTTTTTATTTTTCCAAATCAATGTGTTGTTTATAAATTAATACTTAATATATTATTCCAATAGTTGTTTTACTATTTAATTTTAATGTATTTCCAATGGGGTTATAATAAATAGAAACTGATATTTTTGGTAAAATGAGTTCTCAATCTTATTTGTCATTCATTACTGATCTATTGAACTATTTTTGGATTATTGGAAATAAGGTTTTATGTGAAATCTTCCGTATTTCAGTAATGTTTTTAAATAAAATGTTTAGATTAACTTTTGTAGTTCTAATTTGGAGTACTGTATTGAAAGTGTTTTACTTCTCCAGTTTATTAGATAATAACTCACTTTCGTAACTTTAGCTTTGTTATTAACGGTTTTTGGTCCTTTACCACACTGGGTATTTGGATTTGGATCTGGAATTCGGGAAAGAGAAAACTAAGAAATGATAACTAACTAAATTTATTCTGATATTCGTGTCAAATATGGGTCAGTCGTCTTGACTATAAAATAAAAGGCTTGTATTTGAACGAAAGTTTCATTCATCGACCAAAACTTTTACTGGACTTTTGATTAGAGATTTTTGCCAAAAAAGTCAAAATGTTTGTAAGTATTTCAAGAATATGTCCTTTTTATGGTTTATTTTAATTGTATTGAACTTTGCAATTAGTTTTCAGCGTTTTTGCTATTATTATCGACCGCTTCATTGGAGGCCACACTTCCAGATATAAACTCGTTTATGCCTAATATCTTCGCAATGGTTCCCATGAATGGTCAGGTCAGTGTTAATGATCAAGTCTTCGCATTTGGTGACCAACAGCCGGCATCAGCTCCAATCTCCACAACTATTACAACCCAAAGTCAACCAATCGTTACTCAAGAAGTAAGACAAGTGGTTAGACAGCCATCGCCTGTAAATGTGATCACAATTCCCAATAATTTTGCTCAAAACACACCACAAGTCATAAATCAAGGCATACCTGCACCTCAAAGTGGACGACAGAATATTCAAATCATCGAAATGAGACCACAAGAGATTCCAACTTTTCTACTAAACTCTGGTTCCAACCCATCCAACAACAGACCCACTCTTCAAAACGCCCCGACATTTGAGTCCAGATTTCCTTCATTTGATTCACGAGTTCCCAACATTGAGTCACAAAACCCAAGATTTGACTCAAGCTCTCTGCCAAACATCAGGTCCACAGAAGTCGGCTCAACATTTGCCAACAACGCCATGTCATTGAAGCGGCTACTCAAGAGAGTCGGGAGAGGGCGCAGTAGGGAAGGGAAGCCTCCTGAAGGTAAGTTATTAGTCAAGTTAAGTGTCGGTAAGGGGTACTTATCGGCTAGGTTACCATCGGGCCGTGAAGACCCTCTTGTGGTGATGCCATTAGTTGTCTCTCCCGATCGACTGCTGCAAAACAACGGTACCACAACTCCCCTCCCAATGCCCGCACTCTTTGTCGCCGCTTCCGATCGCAACGAAAGGGTTCAACCGCTGGAGTCGACACCCGTTGAGGTGACAGATAATGACCGCTCTATTCCTCTGGCGTTTCCACACGACTCCGTCAAAGTGAGTCGAGAGACCACTTCTTTCATACTTCCGGTGCCCACAATCACACAGATCGAAAGCTCCCATCCGGACCCTAATATGCAATCGCTTCTGGAGAAACACTTACCTCCAGTTCTGTCTCACGATACAAGTGTCCACACAATCAACGTAACAGACTTTGGATCGACACAACACTTCCCTAACTTTGTTCATCTGTTTAGACCCCAAAACATCCCCTCATTGGCTGAATTGGACGCTAAGACACAATGGGAACAGTCATCACAAGTGGAGACAACCACTTCATCCGCCAACTCAACTCAATCTATTAACTTATCATAAAATATAGATGTCTTTCAAATGTTTTAAAAATTAAATTTTATTATCATAAGTTTTATAACATGTATCGTGAATCATTGAATTTTAATCATTTAATCAAAAAAATAAATTTAATTTATACTGAATTGTGAACTGTGCCTTGCTTATTTGTATTTTAAAAAGTTTTCAAATCATATAAAATTATATAAAATTATAAGTAGATTTCAATGATATAATTTGATTGCTTATGTAGACTATGTTATGCGTGAATGGATTTGTAGATAAGTAGTGTATCAGTGAATAAATATGAGATAATTGTGTGAATGGTTGGGTTGTGAAGGAGATTACGAGTGGATGTGAGAGAAATGGTTGGACTGTACGGCAGTTGTAGTGAGCATTACATCACTATTTAATGCAATCACTGCATCAATGGAAAGGCATTGACAGAGAGGTGTCGTTACAATAGCAGAGACCCAATGAGTGGACCGCAGCAGTGATTGTGTGAAGTCTGTCAACCACTCATACAGTCAACCCATTGGTGACAATCGTTCAAACCATTGACCGCTTTAGCAGACAGTTATGTCTTAGACGGACATACAGTCCTCACAGTCACCACGAAGACCATAGACCAGTCATTCAGTAGACAATTCACGTCTTGTCAGACAATACACACTCAGGCGTTGTATTTGAGGTGCGATTACAGCACATGTGTTGTGTGTCACAGGTGGCAAACAGAGTAACCTAGGTAATTATCCAAACGTAACTAATGTCTGTTACCTACCCACCCTAGTCGGTTTGTTGAGCAAACCACCGTTAGTCAGGTTAGTGTTGTTGTCGCCTACCAACTTCAG